CTGCTGGTGACATGGCAGCTGGCTTCACGCAGAGCAAATGATCTGACAAAAAGTATCAAGATATAAGATAAAGTGTCTTTTATAACCTAATCTTGGAAGTGGAATGCCATCACTTCTGCCTGGCAGGGATTATTGGGGGCCCCCTTGGTGGCTGGCTCTCACACTGCTCAAGGTCTCATAGTTAGTGATTGACAGAAAGAGGGGACTTGAAACTAGGCACTCAAATTAGAACCTGTGTTCTTTACTACAGCAAAAGGAATAAAAGGAGGGAGTTTTACAGATACTATATAACAAAACTGCACAGTAACCGAATCCAATTGACAACTATAGCTGGATGTGAAATCCTGGCTGTGCTAAGTTATTGGAAGTAAAGGCAAGGCTCAGTGGGTAAATCATAAGACCCCAAATCTGGAAACTGAAAAGTAGAAGATGGGTTCCTAGTGTACTGAGTTTTCTACTGAGCTAATCCCCACATAAGCTGACTAAATGGGTGTCAACTAACTAGGCAGCAAATTCCAGAATCCTTGCTACCATTTCAGAATCCCAGCCAGCCTTACAACCAGGAATTGCTTCTAAGTTGCGGTCAATATTGGATAGATCTGGATGGCACAACCAAACTCCCAGAACTCTGGGCTGGCTCCATTATCCTAGTAATCTCATGACTCCATATTTTATTCAGTTTTAATTGAAAAAAATTCCTCACCTCCATCCTGTTGCATTCAGAAGGGGTTTTCATGCATTAGGAAGTAAAACTGGCAGCACCAGGTCCTTATTTCAGTGTGGGGAATGGGGAGGGAGAGAGAAGAAATAATAAATGATAACTCACCAAGACATTCCATACAGGACAAGGAGCAAGCTTGCCGGCATCAGTAGGGGTAGTCCGGTGTGAGAAAGAAGAAAAAAGCTTAGACTGGCTAGTGTAAGTTTGAGGTGCTGTGGGATATCCAGGTAGAGATGACATGAAGACTGTTGGATGTGTGACTCTGAAGCTTAGAAAGGTCTGGCCTAAAAACAGATCTGTGGGTCGTCGACTTCAGAGTGGTAGTTGGAACCTTGGGCGTTTCACCCAGGAAGAGTGTGCAAAATTGTAATGCCATTGGCTGAGATCAGAAGCCAATTATCCAGCCTCCACAGGATGCTTCTTCCCACTGTCTTCTGTGTCTGCAAGGCCTTTCTCTACCTGACAAGCTCCCGCTCTTCCCTCAAGTCTCTATTGTAGACCTGGCAATTCTTTAGTGCCTTCCTGGATCCAGGACAGCTACCCCTACTCTACTCCTGCACCAGTCCATGCTTACCTCTACCACCTCACTTCTATTGCACTGTCATTGTTTCTGTCTTCTTAAAAGCTGTGGGTTACATCTTACCAGGTTTTTATTCACTATGCTGCTTCTACTAGGAAGAGCAGAAGGAGAAAGAGACTACCACTCATAAGACCTGAGTATTAGTCCCAGGTTTGCCCTTGAACGGTTTTGTGACTCAGGGGATCACTTCTCCTCTCTGGACCTTAGTTATCTCCTGAATACAAGTAGAGAGGACTCCTTCTGCTTGAAGACTGATTCACTGAATAAATTTTAACCAGCCATCATGGGGAAGAAAGCAGCAGATTGGGAGTAAGATGACTTGGGTTCCACAGAAATCTATTCTGTAGACTCCAGTGGATCCCCAACCAACCCTCAGGCTTTCCTTATTGTAAAGAAAGATGCTTGCATTGAATTTGAGTTCCTTCCAGGGCAGAGGTTCTGAGTTTGTTTCAGGAGACATGGATCCCCATCCACCAGGGGGAAGCATGCATACGTGGGAATGGCAAACAACTGGGAAGAACTCTGATTCAGCTGCTGTTTCATTTTTTTCTGCTCTTGCTCCCTGCCTCCCTGGGAATAAATCTCTTCTGCCCCTCCCCAACTCCAGCTTTCCTTATTTAGCTTCAAGTTGGACTTTTCCCCCTCCAGGCTGTGACTTTGCTGCAGCCAGTCTGGCTAGAAGCCCTCTAGCAAGTCTTAAGTACTCCTGCTTCCCATTTGGCACCCACATATTTCCTTTGCTTTGGGTTGAATTTATTCACATACCATGTGTGCCTCCTCCTCTTTGCTTATTCACAGCCTACTTGCCTTTAAAAATGCAGCTCAAATCCAATTCAGTTCACTTCAGCTGAACCCCTGAGGGCTCATTATCTGCTTGGCTCACTTCTGGGCACTGGGGAACTGCACTGAGTCAGCCAATTCCAGCCCTCGGGGAGCTCACAATCCACTGGGAGAGTCTGACACACAAACAGATCATTTCCTTGTGGCGTGGGAAGTGCTATAACAAAAGGGAGCTGTGGAGCACAGAGGCCCCGCCCAGCGTGGTTGGTGGGGTGGGGGTGGGCAACAGGCAGGAAGGGCTTTTTGGAAGGGATGATGGTTGAGTCAAGGGTTAAAAGAGGAGTTGTTTGTAAAGCAAAAGGTGTCAAGGAGTATACTGCAGGCAGAGCCCTCTCCGTGCCACCTGGTGTGCAGTGATGTTAGGTAGAAACCTTACCTTTTTCTACTCTGGGCTGGCACTATATATTTACGGTGTTACATTACTTCTGGACCCAGCTCTTTGAAAACTGTCCATAGGGTGATTAGGGAGGTGAGGGGGATCTAAAACACAGGTCACACAAGGAACAGTGGCTGAATTATGCATATTTAGACTGAGGGGAAAAGCCTCTGAGTGACAAGTAAATGGACTTTTGTATAACACTGAGTTTCCAAGTGAGACCAAAGTGTAGAAGCCTGGAGGCAGATTCCAGCTGAACACAAAACAGAACTCTCTACTGGCCTTTCTTTCAAAGAGAACAACTTGTTTGGCAAGTTGTCGTCACTGGAGAGGTTCAAATATGCATCCCCATTTGGTCGTCACATTGTAGAAAACGATGAGATTGGATAAGATGACCTTTAAGGGTCTTTCTAGGGGTGGATTCTCTCATATCTTCCCCACTACCACTCTCTACCCCCACCATTATCTCTTGGAGACTGTTTGCTTCAACCTCCCTGTGACTCTCATTACCTCCTGACCAACATCCAAGCTCCGCAGCACAGCACATAGGGCCCTCTCCCACCTCACCACTCACATCCCTACTCCCAGCACAGCAATACCAAACCACTCAGTAGTTCTCTGCACACTCATACGATGTTGTGCGCTTAAGATGCCCACCCCCTTCCTTTGCCTAGCTTTTACTTGTTCTCCAACACTCTGCTCTGGCACTGTAGCAGATGTTTGCCACCTATTGTCTGCACCATGATTTCTGATTCGTCAATTAACTTCCTCCCACTATGTCTTGATGGAAGGGTAATTGCAGTGGCCTGTCTCCTGCTACCATTCAGAAAGAAGCTGAGGGGGTCACATCCGTCCCTTATCAAGCTGTAGTTTCAGCTAGGAGGCTGGCATGTGACAAAAGTCCAACTGGGGCATCTCTCCAGGTGCTCTGAATCCAAAGACATCAGGAATAGATAAAGGTGATCTGGTAGTGGGGAGGCAGTGGGAACAGTGTCCTGAACTGGCTGTTCCAGACGCAGTATAGTTGCTGTGTCTTTGTTCCTACTTCTCAGCCTTCTGGAGTACCCTTGGTTCCTACATTTTTCCAGGCCAATAAATATTTATAAAATGAATGACTGAAGCAGAGGGATAGAGGTCAAAGACTGAATTCAAAGCAAATCAAATGCAAAGTTGGACCATTAATGATTAGAACCAGAGGTAAAGAGAGCAAAATAAAGATAAAGAGGAGAATGGCTGCATCACTAACAGGAATGAGGAAGTGCTAGTTTGGTTCCCCAAACTAGACAGGGAGGAAGGATGGGGGAAAAAACATTTTTATTATAATCCTTCTTCCAAGACACCTCCATTTACATACACATGAACCTTTCTCCCTTGGGGATGATAACAGTCCTAGTATTATTTTAGGCTGAGTTAGCTTCTTGGTCTCTGATTTAGATGGGTCTCAAGCTAATGGCCTTGCCCTTACCCTCAGAGACTGTTAAATTTAAAGAACTTGTCAAATAGCACATATCCAGTGGCAGGAGAAATCAAAGATAACTTGGAGGTTTCAAACCAGGAGGATACGGGACTAAGAAAGCAGGATGAAAATGCTGAGTTTGAGACCTTAGCAGGAAATGGGCAGAGATGACCCTGGAGCAGTGAGAAGTAGGTGTTGTCTTGTTGAGACACTAATTAATGGGTTCATAAATCTCTACAGCTGGTGGTATCCTACTGCGTATTTCTCATCACGTGCAACTCTGTGCATATGCACAAACAATGCAGTATTCAGTGCTTTTCTTCTGCAGGCAGAAACATGAGATGGGTTCATTCATTCAATAAATATTTACTGGGCACCTACTATGTGCTATGCACTGTTCTAGGCAGTGGTAAAATAGTGAAAAGGCTATACTCATGGAGACTACAAAGACAAGTAATACTACTCCTTTAATTTATTCATTATATTGTTTATGTGCTATGAACAACATAAAATAGGGGAAGAGGTAAGGATGTGGTTAGTATGGTTCTCAGAATATTCCATGCAGACGGTGGTAAAATGACCTTGTAGAATGTCACTCTCACTCATCTTACCTTTGAGCCTGTTCAGAGGAAGGCAGGCAGTGGAGACCAGGACTACAGAGTTCTAACAACCCTGGAAACTCACTCCATGACCACCGCACTATCACAGATATGTAGTTACTACTTTGAAGGATTTCCAAACCTTTAACTTTTTATTATGTTAGCTGATGCTAACATGGGCAAATTAGTTCCACTGAAGGAGAGAAGCGGAAAAGTAAGATGGAAAAATTTTAATGTTAGCTCTTTCTTCTGGGACTTCTGATGAACCAATCATGAAATATTGACTGAGTAATGAGCTCTAATACTCATTTAGGGTCAAAGTAGATTCTAGGATATGCCATGCTTATATTTCAAGAACATGTTCAGTTTGGATAGAAAACTTTATGAACTACACAATATCTAAGATAATAAAAATTACACAGAAACTCTTGCCTATGAAGAGACCTGTTTATTACTGATAACACTTCATTTGGCTAAAACCACAAGAAAACCACACACACAAGATACCTAAAGTGCAAATTCTCATAGGCAGTACTTATGATACACCTTGGTGGTTTTGTAGGGAAAAATAAGATGCTGACAGAAACTATTAAAACAAGAGCACAATTGTGAGCTACTGCTATACAGAAAAATAATTCTTAACTGCATATATTTTTATCTGGCATATTCAATGATGTATACAAAGAGTTTATTTTAGCCTATAACACAAGGTCTCATCATATATAGACACAGCTCTTGTTTGACTGGCTCTTGTAAGATACGTGATGAATCATAATACTGGACAAAAATATACCAAATAGCATCAAATTAGTTGTGACTCACTTGGAAGACAGCACTAGTAGGCTCATAATGGCACTAATATTAGTGATATTAAGTCTAGAGATACTTTCTTAGCCATCTTGGCCAACATCTTGCTTTGAGTGTAAAATACTAGGCATTTCATACAATTTCCAAATAGGAACATGCTCTGCTCTCCCCAAAGGAACAGAGTATTTATGGGTGTGTGTGCTTAATTAACATTACTAATTACAAATTTCAGTACTGAGAATTATTTTTTTAAAAGCTGAATCAGAAAATTAACCTTTTTTGATTGTTTCTTAAACTATTTACTTCCTTAAAATAAAATCCCATAATTCCTCTCATCACCAACTAAGCACTCTATAACACGTACCACACTAGGTGCTGTGGATATAAAAAATAATAAACCATGATCCCTGCTCTCACGGAACTGACAGTAGGGTGCTTATTATTAGTTAAGGGATGCCAATGAATTAAAGAGAGCAAAACTGGCCAACACATCCGATTATATTACAAGGTTTGGTGGTAACATAACTGATTCAGGTCGCTTTAATTTGGCATTAGTACTTTCAAAGGTCAGATTCTAAAGGACAGAGAAAAGTCCTAGATATGTTCTATGCTTATATTTCTCACACTAGGATCGGTCAGTGTGTATACCCCTAGGGATACGCAGCAACTTTTGGGGGGGTGCTCGGGGAGAAAACTGAGAGCCCACGTGATAAACACGGTGCCTCTTTCTGGCAGCACTAGTTTCCATGAAGACTGAAGGAAGCATTTTTATATTAAAACAGTTTTATTATGGAGAACGCAAAATTCACTTACATTTTTAAGACAGGACAGGAAATTTCACGAGTGGCAGGCTGCTTTTGATTTTGCTCTGAGGCCCCTTCCCCCAAACATTCCTGCTCCTCTGCTTTAGGATTATGCTGGTGGAAACATTCGAGAAGCAAACTTTAGATATGTCACTTTGCCCTTATCTTGGTCACTTTACTCATTTTTGTATGTTCTCTTTTTTAGGTACACAGTCTTGAATTAACCGAGAGAAGAGATATCCTAATGAATGTAACAGTATGGTGAATACTTTCAAGTAACCAATGGTAAACAATAACTTTGTTTTTGTCAGTTTGTGTAAAGAGTCAGACAATGAAAGAATCTCTTCTTTCCACTTAGACTTCTTACGGCAAAATGCTTTGAGGGACAGATGTGAAAAAGGATTTCCTCAGATCTTGTGCTTTGGATGCCCAAAGTACAAGAAAATCTGAAATAAAATGCTAGATCAATTGACCATTCCTTTTGGTTAGCATGACTCTTTCTTCATCAGTTTCTAGAGTGATCTCAGAAAACAAGTGAATTGTAAAAGGCCATAATAAGTTAATATATAGCAATATCCGGACAGACTGAAAAAAGTTTATGCAACAGATTTAAAATTACTTCTTACAATGTCTTAAATATTCTCACAGTAAAAACAAAATAACCAAAAGTCCATAAACAAAACAGCTTAGGAATAAGTTTAAAGCATTCTGAATGAATACAGTTAAGATTTCTTATCAGTGAGGTAATAGGGCAATAGCTTTTCACAGTAACAAAATGTAGAAGGGCACCTAGGGAAAGAGGGAGGTAGAGAGAAAAAGGCATAAAACAAATTTATCCAAGCAGAATTTGGATTTTTCAAGCATCACAAACATCAGTGGAAAACATGGTGAGAGAAATACCAATAGCAGCAGTTCGTAGAACAATTTCTCCATTAAACTCCAGCTAATACCTTTGTTGCATCAATTCCAGAAGCAACGTGCTTAAGAAATGGGAGGTCTATTCTCTATGTAAAGATATTCCAAAGCATCCAACCTCTTAGAATCTTTCTGTCAGCTGAAGTTATGATATCCAAATAACAATAATTTATATTTAAAACAAAATCCTCAAATATCCTATAATAGTATACATTCTTCACGATAAACAAAACTGTGTTCAAGTGTCACTTAGTTTGCCAGATTAAATTGAGCAGGTCTTTATACAGTGAATAAAGGCTGCATTCACGCATCTACTACTCAATATATACAAGAACTGTCTTGTGAGCTAAACGCTTCTAGACATGGAGTGAAACTTAAATGTTACTTTCAGTGCTCTTTATGATATCATCTTTGTTCCAACCTGAGATTAAAAAAAAAAAGTATTGGAAGGAAACTTGAAAAGCCATTTAGTATATCCCTTAATATTAAATTTTTTAATTTAATTTTTTTTAAAAAGTCTCTATTACCTCTTATTCTGTCCTCGTTGGAGAACAGTTTGTCATATTACTTCTTACTTTGAGTCCTTCAATAAAAGATTAATAACTCAAGACTTATTAAACTATCTCAATAGCTTTCTCCCCTCCAGAGTTAAATGATCTTAATCCTTTGAACTTTCTTTCAGCAGTCTTATTTTCCAATCTACATTTTATTCCTTTTTAGTTCTGCTATATTCTCCTCTCCCCTGTTCCCACTGGATCCTAAAACACAGCATCCTAGCAGGAACTAAATCAGTAAGGGGGTACTTTTTCTCACCTCCTCAAAGGCCTCCTTGGCCTCTTTTTAGTGGTCACTAATAAATCATCACTATCTGTTCATCATAATAACACATAAACAAAAGTAAACAACTTGCCCACAGCCAGTCCATTCCCTACTTTTGGGTGTTAAGTTTGCCCTTCACACGAAGCATGCCTTGTGCTGCTGTACTGACCTTTCTATTGTTTGTTTATTTCTACTGTTTATTCTGTTTATTTCCAATATATGCTTTGATCTTGCCCTACTAATTCTTTCCTTTTCCCAAAGTTCTAGAAAATCCCAGTTTAAAAAAAATTTTTTTTCATGGAGGTATGGGGATTGAACCCAGGACCTTATGCATGCTAAGCATGCAGTCTACCACTGAACTATGTCCACCTCTCTAGAAAATCCCAGTTTTGATCTACACACTGAAAGAGAATGCATTCATTTCCATGATATTATTCATAAAGAAAAAGATAAACAGTGTAGAGTCTAAGGCTGAGATCTACTGGTCAGCACTTCTGTTTCTCCTGGATGGTGTGGGCTACTAAATTTACCCTGCTAGGCAAGCGTACACCCACTGTGTCAAGTTCTTGTTAAATATGCTCAGACAGACTCAAGAGCTTGGCTAGAATCAAAGAATTCTCTTATATACACTTTAGGAACATCTGTAAAGTTTTGTTAATTTTAACTTGGGATTTTAAAATTTTTGAGATAAGAATCCAAACCTTAATGACTTTTCTCTGTGATTAACATGACCTAAGTGCTGCTTTATATTAAAGCACTAAAAACTGTTCTCTTTATAATAGAATGACAGTATGACATGGCTTTAGTGATTATGAGTCAGCTATTGTATCATTTTAGCTCCACTTTGTTCTTCAGTCACTGAAACACAGATACTAAAACCGAATATACATATTTTTCATATATATAAGCATTGTTCATACCACTTTGTAGAATATAGGTCATTTCCTAAATTACAGTCTACATTCCTAAAAGCAAATAAAGAAAAACAATCTACACATTTCTTTTTCAGTGCAAAGCCTTTGAAAACAAACTCAATCAGAAATATGGTTCTCTACATTTAGCTGCATATTATGTATAGTCATACAAGATTTAGCAATAAGAAAGCAAGGAAGGAACAAATTAACAATAGTGGCAATACAATAATTTGAAAATTATATTCAGATTATCTGGGTTTAACCAAATGTTAGCCAATAGCTGCAGTAAGCCAAACTATGATTTAATAAATATTCTAGTCAGCTCAAATTTTATATTATTATTATTATTTAGGAAATAAATTCTCTAATACTAGTTACCTCTCGTAGGCAATTTGTTTAGTATGATTACGTACATCTAAGGCCTTGCTGTTGTTATCTCTTAACTGTTCACCACATATGTTTAAGTACTCTGTTAGCTATAGGGCAGGGTATGCTTTAAGAAGATTAAACAGTGCTTCTCTATTAACCTTTTTTTTTTAAGAAGACTACAGAATCAAGCAAAATCGATTTTCCAAAAATTTTTTCCACACTGAAAAAGATAAATAGTACTCTTGTGATCAGAAATTCCACAGAAGTCAGCAAGATGTTAAGATAAACTGGACTTTAGTTTTAAAACATGTAGTTTTAGTGTTGCATAATATCTTAAATCTGGATGTTTTATTTCTTAGTAAAATTAGCATTATTTCATGTGATAAAGAAATATAAAAATGTAATTTAAAAGTTCTACTTTTAAATAAATTCACAGCTCCTATCTCAGTTCAGATGTTTTCTTTGAAGGCTGTGAAAACTGACACAATTCTAATATGAATATCCTTAACTACAGGCACACTGACCCTGCTTTTAAGATTTTGGTGCACATACGTAAGATTTTAAAATCAACAAACCTATTTGATGTGGAAGGGAAACTATTTGCAAATTAAATGATAAATTACATTCAATGCAAGAACACTATTTCAATTCAAACCATACCCTGAGAAGGCACTGAGAAATTTGACAAAAACCAAGCCACTAGGAGTGTTGCCACTATTGTTTTATGTTCAGTAAATATCAGGACTTAAACTAAATACAATAACTTTACACTGCACCAAGAGCACCTGAAACAGAGGTGCTGAAACCATATATTGTAACATCTGTTCTACACTAGAAATGTTAAATACCCTACTTCAAATACTCTAATTTGTAAGTTAGATATAACTATGATACTTTTCCACAGTTTTCTGGGAGCAGTGCCAATTTTATAGATTAATTTCCTTAACTAATTCTACATTTATCTCTCTAAAAAAAAAAACCATGCAACACACAATTACAAGAATATGGAACTAAATAAGCTTAATCACACTTTCCTAAGAAAACTCACATCAGTATTGTTTTGTTTCTGTTGGAGGAAGAATGATGTATTACCATAATACTTTTAATGTAATGACTTTTGTTCAAGATTATGAACAAATTTGAAACATTTCTCTCCAGACCATTTCATTTCAAATTTATACAGTTTGTTTAGTCAGCAACCTAAAAGAAAATAAAACCAAACAGACTCGGCCAGATGAGACAGAGAGAGAATGCTAACACAAGTTCAATGTGTGGAGTTCTTGGTTGTTCTGTTCCATATGCCAGGGAAAATTAATGAGTGTGCTGGTGTACACTAAACAGAACGCCAGGTCAGGCCATTCTTACTGGGCTCAAGAAAATGCTCAATCAAAGCATCAATGAGTTTCTTCAATTCCTCTTCTAGTAAGGCAGTGTCACTGAGGAAAAAGGTTAGAAGTTTTGAAATTATTTTCATAGTTTTAAAATTTGTTTACATTGTTATAACTTTTTAAGAGGGCATATACCTGATGGATGATTAGATAATTGGTAAACAAAAGAGAAATTCAGTTAAAACAAAACAAAACAAGGCCAAAGGTGGGAAGAGGGGAATCATACACACAGAACACCATTATCACAAACTAAAGTTGAACTGCACTAAAAGGAGTTGCCTGGTACATGAAACATGGCTTGAGTTACATACAGCACGTCTAAAGATTTCTCCTGGGTCAGGTAATTTAATGGCTTAGAACACTAATACCAGGTATTAACATAAAATGACTTCCTGAAATACTTTGAAGAATACCCAGTATAGATACTATGGGATGATACGGTGTATATTTCAGGTAGCAGTGAAAGAAGCGTGACTCAAAGAATGAGATATTTAAAAAATAACAACTATGCCCTTCAAAGTCATCACCTGATGAGCTAACATTGTCCGAAACATTTCTAGGAAGGCCTCTTTAAAACTGCCTTCACACACAGTCATTTTACAAGCTATACAACAAATCAATTTTTATTACTTTAATAATTATCCTTCATTTTTAACCAAATATAGCATTATACAATTTGGTTTACTTTACACTCTGCTCTGAATGACTTCAGGAGGTCATTTTCTCCCTCAAAGGAAATAAATCTACTCCTAAACACAAAGATTTATGGAAATAGTAAATAATGTAACTTGGGCTCTCAGGGCAATTCCAAAAAATCTCCTTTCCAAATAAATATTTATCAATGACAACGTTATAGGAAATACTACTTATAAAAGTTTAAAAAGCCTTTGAGTATGCTTATTAAAGTTAATTTGGTCATAATTCATACTCTTAAAAGGAAATAAATTGGGCAGATTAAGTCAGATCATATTAGATGTAGAAAATGAATGTTTGACAATAAATTATTTGTTGATCATCTCTTTATGTTCATCATATAATAGTTAAAGCTCAGAGAGCTTTCCCAGGAATATAAATTCACTAAAGAATTAAAATTCAGTTCCCAAATAATACAGCCTCTTTGGAAATCAGTCTGGCAGTTCCTTAAAAGGTTAAACATATGACCCAGCAATTCTACTCCCAGATGTATACCCAAGTGAAATGAAAATATACGTCCACACAGAAACTTGTACACAAACATTTAGAGCACCATTATTCCTAACAGCCAAAATGTGGAAACAACCCAAATGTCTATCACCTGATAAATGGATAAAAAATGTGGTATATCCATACAGTGGAATATCACTGGGCCATAAAAACAAAATTAAAAAAAAAGAATAAGGTACTGATTCATGCTAACATGGATGAACCTTGAAAACATTATGCTAAGTAAAAGAGGCTAGTCACAAAGGACCACATATTGTATGATTCCATTATGAAATGTTCAAAATAAGCAAATCTCTGATGACAAATAGTAGACTGGTGGTTGCCTAGGGCTGGGAGGGAGGGGAATGGGGAGTGACTGCTAATGGGTATAGGGTTTCTTTTTGAGGTGATGAAAATGTCCTAAAATTAATTATAGTGATGTTTGCACAGCTCTGAATATACTAAAACCTATTGTGTTGTATACTAGAAATGGCTGAACTGAAGGGTATGTGAATTACATCTCAACAAAGCTTGTGTGTGTGTGTGTGTGTGTGTGTGTATACACACATATATTTATTTAAAAAGTCAATTCTCACCTCTGCTCAGGTGATGCACACATCTCTGTATAATACTTTATCTTTGGTTCTGTCCCACTTGTCCGAAGAGTAGCAACACAGCCGTTTTGAAAAGTAAATGTAATCATTTGGCTGTTTTTACTCATAGGCAGCACCTATGCACAAATGTAACAACAGCTTAATTATACTTGGTACCTTTCTCATTTTCAAGTGTTGTAAAATACATTCTACTTATATGAGGTATGTAAAATAGTAAAATTCATAGAAACAGAAAGTAGAAGGGTGATTGTCAAGGGCTGGGGGAGGGGGAAATGAGGACTTGTTTAAGGGGTACAGAGCTTCAGTTTAGCAAGATGAAAAAAGTTCTGGAGATCTGCTGCACAACAATATGAATACAGTTTACTGAACTGTACTCTTAAAAATGATTAAGATGGTAAATTTTATGTTATGTATTTTTTACCACAATTAAAAAATTTTAAATACTCTTAAAAGAATTTTAAAATACAAAAGATTACATATATGGTAATTCATAAATGTACCACTTACTGAACATTTATAATACCACAGGCATTGGGTTATATAACTTATACACATGATCTCCAGGTCTCAGCAATAATCCTGCAAAGTAAATATTACTGCCAATTTATGGACAAGGCTCAAAGAGAGTAAACAACCTGCTCAAGGTAATCAGCTAAGTGGCAGAACAAGAAGTTAAAGCCAGGTCTATCTGTGTCAAAGTACAAACTTCCTCTATGTCTGCAACATGCTTTACAATTTCAAAGCACTTTCACAGACAGTTTATCAATACTCTCCAAAGCAGAGTGCATGTATCTTAGAGGATGGGTAAAATCATCCATTGGGATGCAAAAAAATTTTTTTTACCTAAAAATTAAAACAAGAAATGAAGCTTTACTGACATTGAATATATAACCCTAATACTTTTCCTGGACCACACATCAGTCCGTGAAGTCATCTCGAGGGAACTGTGAAGTTGTCCTAGGATGGAGGGGTTGACAGTGGTACCTTCCCATCTTGAGCCTGGTCCTCTCCGTGGGACCCCTTTCTTAATCTGGTACTACCACACACTAGTTGCTTAAGACAGAGACCTTCCTTCCTGCCTTTTCACTCACAGGCCATAACTATCAAGTCCTGCCTATTCTATCCTTTAACTCAACACTGTCTGACTCTCTCCATCACTACTGCTGCTTTATTACATTCAGGCTTCCATCATCTCTCGTCTTGATTACTGAAATAGCATGCTAACTCCTCCTGCCTGCAAGTTTGCCCCCTTAACCCATGCACCATACATGCCATTCTGCCTTGCACACCACATTACAGCTGGAGGAACTACTTGTGGTTCTTTGAAGGAAAACATGCCTTCTCACCTCCAGACATAGCACCTGCTGCTCCCTTTGCCTGAAACACCCTCTGTTCCTCCTACAGCTGGATAACTCCTACTCATACTCTAGAACTCAGCTCACTAAGTCGTCTAAAAAGCCTTCCATAAGCCCCTCAAGTCTGAGGGAGGGACCTCCCTATGCTCTTCCATGGCATCCTATGCACCCCCTGGTAGCCCTTATCATTTTGTAAAGTAATCACTGTTTACTCGTCCATTTCCCCACTAGACTCCTGAGCATAGAAACGGTGCCTTTGTCAGTACTGTGTTCCCAGTGGGCCTGTGCCTATAGCACAGAAGGGTTTTGATAAATGCCTACTGAACACACAGAGGAATGCCAATCTGAAATGTGGAAAAGAAAAAAGCAGTAGTCTTTGACACTTACAATGTGATGTCAGGGGGTTAAATATCTAGACTACCAGCCTTACAAAACTGTATGAGCATCAGTGCAGAACAGGTAGGAAAGCACTTTGAATAACAAATATCATAAACTTTAAAGGGAGTCAAGAGGAAGTGCCAAGAACTATTCTAAGCACAGCAACATTAGAGAAATAAAAAGAAGCAAAAACTTTGGTGGTTCTTTTCAAGTAGTTTACAAAAACAGATAAGTATGTATACATATATACACACACATATATGTGCATATACACAGAATAACCACAACTGAGAACCAATTTTTGTTGACTGGATGAATAAACACAAAGGGAATACAGGTAGTATTCTACACAAAAGGCTGAAGATTTCCCAAAATACATTATGTCCCTAGAATCTTGAGACAACATCAGAATGTTATAAACAGAAATTTAGGCTAATAATAATAATAATAATAAAATAAATACAATCAGCAATCTGAGGCATTTAAATATTTTTTGAGGACCTACCATGTAGCAGGAGCTTTGAAAGACATAAAGGTATATTAGAAATGCATCTGCCACACACAATGCAATGATAACATAAGGTAGAAAGTGCTAAATGACAAGCGGAAGGCACAATATATAACAAAACCTCAGGAGGAAGATATCTGATCATGGGGCCTGGAGGGTACGTGGAAGAGGTAACATTTGCCTGAAGTCTTAGATAATGGCTAAAATGTGGATCTGCAGAAGTAGGAAGAAAAGGTGGACTGAGGAAATAGCTTGAGCAAAAACAGAAAAAAAATTTTAATTTGAAAAAAATTTTTAAATGTATGTATGTAAGAAACTATGTTATTCTATTTGGCTGGAGGTATAGGGAATAAGACTGAAAAGGGAAGTTGTACAGCTTTGAAATGATAGGCTCTTAGACTTTATTTTCAACATTATTTAGCATCATCATGCATTCTCCCTCCCTTTCTGTCTCTCTCCTTCCCACTCTCCACCCTCAGGGGGCAGCGCACACGTGGGAGTGAGGAGGACAGGCAGACAGGATCAGAGTCAGAGAGCCAGTGAGTGGACATACAACTACTCCAGAGAAAAATAATGGGTCCTAGTTTCAAGAAACTCACTGGCTTGACCTGCCACTATTTTACTATAGTATGAATTATTACAAATTGTTAAAAACTTCAAAATAAAAAGGTACTTACTGATTTCTTATTAGGCTGGCTGCTGTCATATCCAGTGGTAACATCTCGTACATGCAGTATAGGAAATGTCCCACAAAATTTGGGGTACTCTTTTGGAGAATCAAAATTGCGAAGCCTTTCAAATATACTTTTGATGGTAGTTGGATCATAACACAAGAAATATGAAGTTTTTGAAATATGATAACCATATCTGCACAAAGATTTAAAATGTTAAAATCAGATTTCAAGACACTCTTTAGGAAAGTATGTATTAAAGATAAGACTATTCAGTGTTATGCAGAAAGTGGCAGTCCTTAATGCAGACAATTTTAGTACTTTTAAAAAAAGAATGACTATTCCTCAAAAACAAACTTTAAAAGCTAAAATTAAGACAAAAAAATGAAAAATTTAAAATGCAAAATGTGTAACAGTACAACTTACTTTTCATAAACCTTAATCAGTTGTTGTTTCAACGTTATATCCATGGTTTCCAAGTAAGATGCCATCTCGGCAACAACGGCGGCTGCACTCACCCCATCTTTATCCAAAACTGAAGTTCCACACAGAAAACCTGAGAATTAAAAACATCTTTAAAAAGGAGGAAAACATAAGCATACACATATAGATATAGTTACAATGGTTTTACATTTCTTCAGCAGGACTAATGAATTAAAAAGCCTAGTAGTAAATGAAACCCACTGATACTGAAGGTATTTAGGGGAACTTTAAGGGCTTTTTTCCTGATGAGAAATGCATCTACATATTTCTGAGTTCTTGGTGGTTTTTACAACTCAAAATGCAAAACCAGATGACAAAAATTCCTATTTTAAAAAATGCTCTCATTCAAATTTCAAACATTTTAATATTTACCACATACCAATAGACTCTTCAAATGAAAAAAGAACTTCTTTCCCATCTTCCAGGAGGTCTTTTATCCTACTTCCAATCCATTTAAAACCTGGTAATGTTTCCTGAAATGCAGAGAAGGCCACCCTTGTTAAGTGACTCATAAAAATACATATTAGAGAAAAGCCTGTCACTAAATGCACATAACACTTTCATAATGATCTGCTATGGTCTTTGGTCTACAAAGATTTATATATTGGTAAACATATGGTCATAAAGTACATGGATATACACACTGCCACAACTGATGACCTACTATTTATCGAGCACAGTAGTAGGTATTTTATACCAAACATAATCCAATAAGTGGTGATGCATACAGTCACAAAGTAACATAAATACACATATATATTATGATCATCTGTTTATCAAGCACTGTAACAGCTGCTTTACATCATCATCTTTTTTAATGCTCACAAAAACTCTGTTGCTGAAACAGAGGCTCAGAGGTTCAGCAAATTTGCTCAAGATTATGCTGCATATAAAAGATGGAGCCAGGATTCAATTATACTGCTTCTCAGAAACTGTCCTGTAAGCTGCTTTATAAGCACTAATGTAAGATTGCCTATGAAGATTGTAATTTAGTCCCCCTGAGTAACCAAATGCCATAAAGCTTTTAAATGATGCACTTTCAGCACTATCACAACATGTATATGAACCACGTGTACCTTACCATAACACCATGGCTCAAATAAATACATCAAGAAAGTTACTAAGTCCTTCTTTGGTCATTTTCATCTGTTGAGCTACTATTCATTTTAAAGACGTGAACCGTTTTAGCGCAAAAGAGTGTGTGATGCCCACTGACTCCACAGTTCTCCATTACTAATTTAAGATTCCTCATTCACCTCTCTACCTCCTCACTGGAAAAAAATAGAAAAATAAAAAAACCTCTGCTGCACTGCCCACTACCCCAATGAAAACAAGGAAGGAAATTTGTAATACTAGTCTTCAGAATCATGTTCTTTTTTTCTCTTTTGTGCTCATTATACATTTTTCTTACCACAAGGAAAAGGTTCAGGCTTCAATAAATTCTCTTCTATTTTGCTATGTGTATTTTAGAAAGCCTGAAATTGAAAGTTCTGTACCATTAAGGTACAATTTTCTTTTACTCAGTCAATTAGTGTTAAGACCTATAACTTGACTGTGACTCAAGAAAAATGCCCAGAGGTGACTTTTTCACTGATAGTTGGCAAAGATGGCAGTGGAGAAGCAATTTAATTGGCATTAGTAAAAAATGGTCAGCCTAACTGCCTGAGGCTCACAAAGGTTAATGATTTGGGCTGAGAGAGAATCATTACTTGTTTTTGGATGTAGAATCATTGAGTCTTAATTTGCAATTTAGAAGACTACTTCAAGTTTCTTAAGACTGAACTCTAAAAGCCTAAACAAGCAGTCAATGACATATATAATTTTGGAGAGTGGAGTTTCTGTTACTGATGAGGTCACTGGGAACCAGATTTTCTCAGTATGAAAACTAGATGCTGTTGCACAGAATAATAAACATTAATGCAATTTTTAAAGAACATCTTATTAGTTTCAGAAATTCACATACAGGATGAATTTGGCTCAAGGTGTCTAAATTATCAAAAAGATTAAGCAAGTGTTAAC